AGGGAATGGTAAGCATTACTTTTTTCTCATTAAAAATCTTGGTATTGTTTATATTTTGACCCACTGAATTTGCTTATGATGTCGGAAAAATTGTTTTGAATTGTATACGACCTTTCAGAAGTACTCATTACCAGGAGTAGAACATCCGCAGCAAGAATCGCTTGCTTTCCGTAGCATCTCGGCCGAAACTCTGGCATCGGAGATTCGAAGACTTGGGCCTGAAGAATTTGAACGCCGCTACACTCTTATTGATTGCAGATACCCCTATGAATATGAGGGGGGACACATTAAGGTTAAGCCAGACTTACTTCTTAGTAATCTCTGCTTTGAACCTTCACCTTTTTACAGTGTGCGATAAATGTTCATGACCAAGACGAGTTAGAGAAGCTGTTCTTCCCTGAAGATCCGAATCATCCCATTCGCTCGCGCATACCTATCTTCTATTGCGAATTTAGTCAGAAGCGTGGCCCAGGAATGTGAGTTCAGTGTTATCTGTTCTTGCACTTTGTTGATGTAAATTTTGTGAAATGATGACTAAAGGGGTCATATTTGAACATGGCCAGGTAGTTTCATGTAATTTTTTTAATGATCTGAATTCTTTAAATTGACTACGTTATTCTAGGGCGCTAGCACTTCGTAGCGTCGATCGAATGCGTAATGAATTGCATTACCCGAAAGTTGATTACGCTGAAATGTACTTACTTGACCATGGTTATCGAAAATTCTGGAATGATGGACGCTGCAAGGTTCTTTTTTGTGCTTCCTGTCCCTTCCAGATTTTGACACAAAAGTAGTCAGCAACTCAACTATCAAATTACCATAATCTCTAGGCCGAGTGCGTTCCATGCGGTTATGTACCAATGACGGATTCTTCTCATTTATCGTCACTTGTCAAGTATAAGTGGCACAAGTCGAAATCATCGAGTCAACTTATGGTTCGGGAAAAAGAGAGGATCCCGCTGCGGAAAACCTGCACGCTATATCGATGCCGTTCTCTTTTGCAGGTAATATCTACGAATTCTAAAGAAGAGAGGCCAAGAGCTCAATTACAGAATAGCGTTATTACAAAT